ATTATTCTACAATTTATGTCTATATTAATTATTTACCTTTCAAGCCATTCTTTTGGCTTTTCCCACTGTGAAACTTCTGTTCGGCAGTTGTAGTAATATTTTTTGCCAGAAGAACTAATGTGCTCAGACCAGTCATCTGCAGAATCATAAGACTAAAAAAAAATTGCAATTAATCTGATGGATTTCAGAAATATCATCATCTCAGTTTTGAACATTAACACACATTTCATTAAAAATATTTCTTTCAGAAAAATATCAGTGAAGCACAAAGCAGGAGCTGTGATGGCACAGTGGTTAGAATGAAGTATTGCAGATTTATTCTGCTGACTGTCAACAGTTCGGGTTCAATTCTCATCAGGATCAATGTTGACTCAGTCTTCCATGTTCCAGCGTGGATAAAATGAGGACCCAGATTGTTGGGGGCAATATGATGACTCTGCAAACTGCGTATAAAGGGCTGTAAAGCACTGTAAATTGGTATATAAGTCTAAGTGCTATTGCTATTTTATAGGGTAATTTCTAATAGATCTCAGATGGAGTCACTTTGGGTATTTGGATCTTCCGGTATGGGTAATCTTCCATTTGTTGGTCTTGAATGAAGAGGCACAGCCTTAGACAGACCCAAATCATACACTGGGCCTTAGACAGACCCAATGTATAGTTTGGAACTCACAGTTCCTGCTCAAAGAACAAGTAGCAATTGTGGCTAGGAGGGCCTTTGCATACCTGCAGGTTATATACCAGTTGTACTCATTCTTAGACTTTGGGAGGGGCGGGGGCTTCTCATTGTCACTCATGCCCTCATTACCTCTTATCTAGATTACTGTAATGTATTCTGATGCTCAATCTCAGTGCTTCTGGGTAAAATTCAAGTTACTAGATATTATCTTTAAATCCCTGCCTGGCTTAGTGCTGGTTACTTGAGGAATTGTCTTTCACAAATTATTTTACCTGTACAATTCAATCAGGCAGGATGCATATGCTTCAGATTCCATTAGCCAAAGAATGTCAGTTTGCAGGGCCTAAAAGCCTTTTCTGCCTTAGAATCCAGCTCTAAAGATGAGGATAGCACTGACAATTCTGGATTTTCATAAGACCTTGAAGACTTGTTTCTGTACCCAGGCCTGAGGTACTGAAGATGTACAAGGAGTAGGTTCTTGGCTGGCTACTAATTTCAGTTGATGCTGCTTGGCTGCTATCTTTTTTGTAATTTTTTTTTTCCACTTATTGAGATGGGCAGTCATATAAAGTGGGCAGGTGGGTGGATAAGCAGATTAATTTAGAAATCTTAACTGGTTTAACAATATAACTCATCAACTTTTAAATGGTAACAGATAATTTAGTTTCGTTTAAGAGAATTAAACTAGTGCTGATACAATGATATCCAAACTGCTATTTTTAACTTTTCAGACTATAAGATGCACTGGAGAATAAGATGCACCAAGATTTTGAAGAAGTAAATTTTAAAAGTTTTTGCCCTCCTCACCCCCTAGGAGCACTCTGCAGTCCTCCCAAACCCTCTGTGCACCCTGTTTCTTGTGAAAAACGGGGCATGCAGAGAGTTTGGGAGGCCTGCAAAGTGCTCCTAGGGACCAGGGAGGGCATAAACGTGACACATATGGGGTTTGAAAGGTAAAACACGGGTCCAGGCATGCAATTTGGGAGGCCTGCAGATTGCTCCTAGGGGCTTGGGAGGGCAACAACATCCCCATTTTTGTGAAAAAAGGGCATCATTTCACTCGCAAATCCTCTGCGCAAGCATTTTTTGCGAAAAATGGGATGCGCGGGGTAGTCGGGAAGCCAAAAATGCTGTATTCAGTGTATAAGACGCACCCAGATTTTCACCCTCTTTTTGGGGGGGGGGAAGAGAAGGCGTCTTATACATTGAAAAATATGGTGTATGTAATTTTGCTTGTTTGATTTCTATTAACTGCAATTAACAAGAATTTCTTGAGAAGGGGATCAAACTGTATACAAAATATAATAAAACTTGACTGAGCAAATTCAATATAAGTACTTACTGCATCAGATGTTTTGCTTGGATTATTGCTAGGATTAGAAGAATGTGAATTTGAGCTATGAAGAGCACTGTGGTTATGAGAGTTTTCTTGTGGAGAATAACTGGTCCCTAGAAAACAATGATTTATGTTATTTCCCAATTATTCAAATTCAATATTTTACA